CTGCGAGCAGTGGGCTTCTCACCAGTTGTTTCCACCTGGGCCCAGCTCTTTTGGGCCAGATCAAAACAATGCACATCATCGGCTTCGTCCCCAGTAAACCCATAAACAACCCATATTTTTCCTTGGGCCTCAGCAAGCCCAGGCCCACCTCTCCCCTTGCAATTTTCCCCAGCTGAAGGAAGTTGTGCCCACTTGTCCTCAACAACATCAAATGCCCACAGATCATTGAGCCTGCCGGAGACACCACAGCCACCGAAGATATAAACATGCCGGTCATCGGCGGTGATTGAGTGGTAACTCCGGTGAGGTGGTCCGGCGTCTCCGCTCGAGATTAAGGTCCACTTGTTAGTCTTTGTATCAAAAGAATACAGCTCATCCAGCTCTTTGTGCTCAGCATCCCCACCGCCAAACACATAGATGGTATCTCCGATTGCGGCCATTGTAACACCGACGCGCGGCGGTGGGTTGTCGCCGGAAACTTCAGCCACAGTCCATGTCAGAGTTTCAAGATCGAAGACGTGGAGCTTGTCATCCACAGGAACACGAGGCACGAATTCACCCCCAATGCATACACCTTCTGTCCTACTATGGCAATTGCATGTGAGCTTCTTGCCCCAGGCCCTGTTCCATTCTGCTCTAGCTGGTGGAAAATAACCCCCAAAAACAAATTTTGCAATATAAATTCTATAGTAATTTCTTTTTTCCCCCCAAAAATTCTGAAGACAAGATATAAGTTCATACTTCTCCAGGTACAACGCAGAACAGAGCAAGGTGATAGCTTGAAATTGTTGATGATAGGGACAAATATCAGGAAAATTTTCATATTAGAGATAAAGTTAACAGTGAAACTATCAATAAAGGGCTTTTCATTAAAAGTAAGAATACCTGATTTTCACAAGAAATCCCTATCCTATCTTCTACCCTCAGTTACTTAGAATGATGGATTGATTGTGCCGTAAAAAAGATGCAGGAAATCGTAAATTTGCAAGAACAAGTGCCAGTTAAATAGAGAGTGGAATTTTAGAGCGAAATTTACAGTGTCGGGTGAATATTGAATAAGAACAGAAAAGATGATCTTGCCAATTCACAGGGAAACAAATACGTAGTTGAGAATCCCTGAACAAATTGAAGTGAGAAATGATAGAAAGACAATTCGGCAGAAATGAAGATAGTAAATCGCAATCGTACACAGTGGAGAATAACATGGCGATGTAGAAGAAGAGGGATAAGAGAGAGACCTTAACCCAGTTGCCTTCTGCCACAGCCATCTCCGAGGACAGGAGATTCCTGATGATGGATCCTCTAAATAGTTCGCGAGCGGAACTGATTGGTACATATGCCTTTATAGGTGTTTGGCGTTGGACCCGGGATGATAATTTTAAAAATAATTTTATTATACTCTGTCGGATTTTAAAATTTAATTATTGAGTTAATTTTATTTTTAAATATAAGACTTATTTTATATATTTATCAGTTTTTTGTAAATTCACCTTATGGATCTCCCTTAACCATAATCAAGTAAAAGAGAGAGAAAGGATATCAAGAAAGTGATGATGGTGTTTTAAAAAAAAAATCATATGTTTTATAATTAACTAACTTACCTAATTTTTTTAATCTAATCAAATTAATTAAATAAGTCTTATATTAAAAATAGAAAGAATATTAAAAAAATGGTACGCATGAGAAATTTTATAAATCTTTTTGGATAAATCAGTCGATGGAGACTTGAAAGTTGAAGAAAAATAAGAAATGAATACTTGACTATCTTACTATTTTTGTTACTAGCATTAAATAATAATTTTATTCATATAATAATCATTTTTTATTTGCATTACCTCTCTTATTTATTGAAAAATCAGCCATATTCTAATTCAATAAAATGTATTATACGAATTGAGGCAATTTAAATTAGGAAAAAACAATCTTAAGGAAGTAAGAAATAATGTAGTCAAGGAAAAACGCAATTCGTATATTACAAATCCTTAGACTTCAACTAAAAGGTCGAATCTTTTCGGGTATCTCCAAAAAGAGACGGATTCAGACGGAATAGGGAATTGTAAGATTTTCCTCCACTTGCTTGATCCAGCCACTTGGGACCCCAGAGCTCATTCTCTCGTTATATCAATTCTTTTTTGAGATCAGGTCAATTAATCCATATGATTTGAGGTAGGGCTGAGCAATGAGCGGGGTGGGCTAGCCTGAAGGTTAGCCCATAACCCGCCTATTTATGAATAAATAGGCATGGACTAACCTATAACCCGGTAGCAGCCCATTTAACCCGTATTAAATGAGCTATGGGGCAGTCTGTTTGGGCTGATAAAAGTTTAGACAAGCATAAATATTTGATAAAAGATGAATGAGAAACAATATCATCAATTGAATGAAAAATAAAAATATTTATAAAAAATTAAAACTTAAACGGGCGGGTATGGGTAGCCCAATACCTTACCCGTAGCCCAACCTGTTTAATAGCCTACCCCGTCCATTTAAGCCCGCCCATTTATAATCTCTTATTTGGACTAATTGGATGGGTTTAAACGGAAAAAATTTCATGAGCCACGGGTGGGCTGGCAGGTAATAGGTTTGTGCTGACCCCTAATTTGAGGGGGGGAAAAAAATTTTTGGCCACTTGAAGGAAAAAATGGTTGTTATTGTATTTTTAGCATTTAGAAAATTAATAATTTTTTGGCGAGAAAAAAAAATCCCTATCGTTTTAATTTGCATACGCCTAGTCCTCATCGACCCTAAACTTTGATATTCTATAACTCAAGTCTTATAATATTAATTATTTAAAACTTTAATTCCTAACTATATGTTTGATATGAGAGAAAAGGAGGGGAAGTGAAAAAAAAATCTAATAGGTTTGATTTAAAAAATTAGAAAAGCGAGGCAAACTCTCATCCCCTCCCCTCCATTCCCTTTATATTAAACAGATTATTTTCTGAAATATAGAAACTACAGTTTTGAAAATGAAGTTATATATATATATTCTATGAAGCTTATGTTTATTTAGTATAACTTTATTTTCTAAAATATAGAAACTAAAGTTTTGAAGTTGGCAAAAAAAAAATTTAGAAAAAAAAAACTAAAATTTTAAATAGTTAAGATTATTCGACTAATCAAGATAAAATTATAAGAATTGAGTTATAAGGAGTGAAAGTTTAGGGTTTTGATTTGCAGTTGAGTCAAAACCATAGGGATAAAAAAAATTAATTTCACCTAAATATTTTGATTATAAATTAATTAATGCTCCTCCAATCTTTAATATAGGACCCAATTGTTGAGTTGGTTTCGGTTCTAAATATAAGACCCATTTCTTATATTTATCAGTTTTCTCTAAATTACTCCTATAGATACTCTCTCAACCATAATCAAGTAGAAGAGGGAGATGGAGTATTAAGAAAGATGATTGTAGTATTTTAGGAAAAATATGTTACATTTCTTATAATTAACTAACTTACCTAACTTCCTTAATCTAATCAAATTAGTTAAATGAGTTTTATATTAAGGATCCAATGAGTAATTAATAGAATCAGACGAACCAACATCTCGATTCCTACGGGAATATTAGGTAATTGAAGCTGCCGTGTGACAGGAAAAATTTATACAACGAGACTAAGTTAGAGATTTTGTAATTATATAAATAAACAGTGATAAAGATTGATTATTTTGTAACTGATAATGACATCAAGGAAACGGACGAAAATCCTACAAGGCCACAATGTCCCGATCAAATGAATTTCAGAATAAATAAATAACCTAATAATAAATAAATATGTGATGAGTGGGATCTGTGCAATTTGTATGTGAATTATTTTGCATTTACATATAACAAAATTTTTTAGTTAGATATTAAATTTTGATTCTCTTTAGATGCCTGCATCATGTCTCCTCATCTAACTTTAAAGTTGACTTAATTTAATAATATTGGATATCAACTTATAATCCATTAGGTTGTTTTTACACTATAGTGAGGCAGCCACCTATATTTAATATTAATCTAATATTATCATAATTTTAATTTTAATTGAGATGTTCTTATCATTTATAAAAAGTCAGCCAATGAAATTAATCACAGAACACCGGAAACACCAGATTTGTTTTTTATAATCAGATTTCTTTCATCATACGCAGTTTAAAGAATAAATTATACTATTCGTACATGGTTTATAATCTTATACGTGTTATTTCGTATACAAGAGAGTTTAGACGTGTTGATTCTAAAAATACATTATAAAAAGAACGTATAAAGATATACATACTCTTATGAATCAATCTTATAACAGCTGAATTTGAGGATTTTTTTTTAATCCTATTTGATTCCTTATTCTCACATAACTCTTATTACCTCTGATCCTTAATATAAGACCTTATTTGACTTTTATTTTGATTCTAATTATAAAACCCCAATCCATTTTGTCTTTTACATTTATATATTTTTTGCAAAATAATCCTCCAACAATATTAGTTCTAACCAATACACTTAATTAGTAAGGATATTTTAGGGAAGACAACATCTTTTTATTTCAATTAACTAACTTAACTTATTTCCTTAATCTCCTCAAATTAGTCAACTAGATCTTATAATTAAGACCGGAGATAGTATTAAATTTCTTTGTGTGACATCAACATTGATTAATTTGATCTCACGATGAACGCCTTATTCTCAGCTGACTGAATGAGGCACTAGGGAGAAGGGGCATAAAATTAGGGACACAATACCTGGAAGTAGAACACTAAAATTAACGCTAAAGGAAATCAGATAAGCATATAAATAAAATCACACTTTGATACTATAATCAGAAAGCTTTACATGGTAGAGAGATCTAATAAATGAACAAACAACAAATTACTGAATCCATTATTAAATGGTTATAGAAAGAAATGCATGCAGAATCAGAAACTATGAGAGCTAGAGATAGCTAGCTAGCTGTGTAATGCCATTAACAACCTAATAGTCTATGAAGGTTTCAAAGTTCTATTGCACTTGCAATTGCAAGTCAAGCTTGGTGATCTTCGGAAGCAAACAAATGGCCAGCATGCTGTTTGTTGAAATATAGGTAAGTCTTTTTCCCAGAAGATGAAACTATAGGCAGAGGAGAGAAGCCAGTGTAGTTCCCATCCAGCTTCTCTAAGCATATTTTTGCAACCGAGTCAAAGCCCGAGTTTTGTGTCACAAAGGGTTGGGCTGCATAATCCTTAACTGGCATCCACTGCATCAATAAAAAGGACAATTACATCCGACCCTGAACGATATGTACCAGATGCAATATCCATTATGTCCTTGTTGACATTATATGTAACTTCTAATTACTTTCTTTTTTATATCAGAATATGAGTGACATTTCTCATCCACAGATAAAAGAGATGAAATATGTTCCTGAGTTTCTGATGTGAGACATTGAAAACACTAGTTCACTTGACCAGAATAAGAATATAAGCATAAGACCAGTTGACTGAATAAAAGTTGAAATCTATTAGACATCATCATGAGTTTGAAAGCAACTGAGTAGGAGTTAGACCCAAAAAAAAAAAGGGATTAATTGGCCTTGGAACATACCTCAGCAGCTGCAATTTCAGAGGTCTGCATCTGAATATCGAAGGAACGTGGTCGCAACATGCAAACAAAGAACATGTCTGATTTCCGGAAGAAAGCCTTGTGGCTTTGCCTGATGCAATGTAAGAAAGATAGAAAAGAGAAAAATATTTCAGTCCGTGCCTTGACGACTAATGGCTATCAACTAACGCGTAAATACGCTAATTAAATGGATGTCTTAGTCTTACCTGAGAGCTAAAACTTCCACAAATTCTGTCTCGATCTGAAAGAAGAATTAAAGCAGAGAGGTGTTAGGCTTCAAATGAGTCCAAAAACTGGGTCAAACATCTCTCAAGTTTTTTTGGTCCCGGTCTGTTCACACTTAGATAAGCCAGGACCGTTTCACCTGGAGAAAGTTCAAACCCCCGAAAAAACCAGAGTTGAAAACTTGATAGATTGGTTAAGTAAACTTACTCCTGTTTCTTCTTTAACTTCCCTAACAGCAGCAGCAGAAAAATCCTCACCCTGTAAATGCAATCCAAATTATGTACAGAAATATACATTAAACAGAGTAAATAATTCATCAAAATTGGATTGAAGATGCCTACCTCCTCAACAGTTCCAGTAGGTAACTTCCATACACCTTTACCTTTGAACCACCCATTGCGCTCCTGAACCACAAGCACCTATAGAGTGAAACAAAATAATTTCATTAGCATGATACATCAAATAAATCATAAGGGTACACTGTCACAGCACTAAATAGAAATTTTTGGCCCAAAAACTAGTTGGATAATCACAGAATGAAGGCTGACACAGGTTCCTTTGATGAGCAAATGAAAACGTACTCGAAAAGGTCCTCATTGTGGAAAATAGGTTTTTTCTATATCTACAAGTCCTCAAGAAAATATTATTGACATAAGAAAACAAAAAACCCGGATTTCTCCCCTTGATAAAGTAAATGTTTTGTTTTTCCTCAGTCGCTAATGAATCTCTGCCAATCCAAAGGCTAAGGCCTCAATGAGTCTAGAAATGTAGCTAATAATATTTTCCAACACACATCATTATATGTGGACAATTACATTTGCGTGTGCCTTAAGACCAGCCACTGTTGAAGCTTAAGATGTTTAAAAGAACAGGCATTAAAGCCACTAAATTTACAATCCACTTGTTTTAGTGAGAAGGCAAGTATCATGCAGCATTTTATATTCATATACAGATAACAAGGCCGAAGTATTCATGACAAGTTTCAAAAAAAAAAAAATGGAAGTCTTGCTTCTTCAATTTTCTTCAAAGTAAAGTTTACACCATTTTCATGACATGAACAATGGTACTTTGGTTAGATAGCGCTAGAAGACAAAATGTTGACCCAATGAAAACTAGAAACACAAAAAGGAATACCTCTCTATTATTATTCATGACAAATGCACCGATTCCAACACGATGTGAAGCATTTGCAGGAAGGGTATCAGCAGTGTCGGGAATCCAACGTACAAGCATCAGATAATCTGGCTCCGCATGGTGGTACCTAAATCCAGCCTGCAAAAAGAGATCCGTATCAAACATCAGCATGACCACATGAACTTGGAGGTCAGCATGTTAAGATTAGCCAAGACTGATTCAGCAGCAAATGCACTTACCTTCACCACAGCCTCAACAAGATTTGCATGTCGTATGGGCAACTTGATCCATACCCCCTTCTTTCCCTGTAAAAGCCATTTTGATTATTTGTATAAAGCTGGAAAGAAATCTTATATACTCAATCAAAAAGAGGTATTATAGTTAAAAATTTGACAATCTACCTGTTCCCGCCAGTTTGACATTGATGATTCCAGCAAAGAAGCGAAGACCATGGAATCCATAGGCTGGTCCACGTTAACTGTAACTCCTCCATGATTATCCTCCTTTGCATTAAGTAAATTAGTGCTTCTATCTTCCATTACCTCTATAGCTGTGGAAACCGACATGAATGTCCTTGGGATCAAACAGTTACTCATGCTGTTACCTAAAGGAATACCAATGCAAGCAGGATTAACTTCAAAACTCAATTATACACAGAAACCAAATCACAATGCTCAAGTCAAAGCATAAACAACTCATGCCAGCACTTAAACTTGTTTCCAAATACCCAAAGGCGCTGCCTTAAATCAGTTGGATATATAACTACAAATATATAGACCTCACCTTTGGGGAAGACAGGGCAGGAAGGTAAATGGAACCAAGAGTTGTCTTTGGAAGTGAAGGACTGCAGAAAATGAGAGAAATGATTTCGGATTTGCCAAAAGGCAAGAATATAGGTTGCAAGCTCTGACTCTGAGCATTTAAATCAAACCTGAGACACGGAAAGGCAAAATGCTGAAAAGTTCTGAGACCTTGTCTTCGAGTTCGCATGATACCTTTTCATTCTTATAGGAGGGTCACCTTGAAGCTCAGACGGAAATTTCCATGCAAAATTAGACTGTGGGACTTGGAACGGGTCCTTGAATTTTTCTGCTTTGGTCTCCTTCAGGGACAAATTTGAACCAGAAAGCAACAAGAAAGTACAGGAATAAACGAAAAACGAATGGAAGTAGACGGACACCCGAAAATTACATTTTAAGTTGTTCAGCCAATCAAGGAAATGCATGAGCCTTTCTGGTCCGTCTTCTGAAGAGTTTCGATGAACACCGAATCCGCGTATATTTCATTAATTCTCCCATCCAACCGCAGACGATGCGACCCGGCGCATTATTTGGGTCGGATTACGTTTTTAATATTCTTTTTATAAGAAATATTTGACAAAATCATATGAATAAAAAGTTAGTTAAAATTAAATTAGTAAAATAAAAATAATAAATACATAAAATTTTATTTTTTCGTATATTATTAAATAAAAAATTAATTTAAGAAATAAGATAATAAATATATTGAGTATTAAATAAGTATTAATATAGTCAAAATATGAAAATAATCAAGAAATTTTGAGATATCTTGCAAATTTTTCCTATAAATAATTAATAGGAATAAGATAGAAATTATAGTTATTTATTGTATAAGGGATGGAAGGAATAGTAATTATAAGACTTTTTTAAAAAAATATTTTTTTTACAGTTTACTAGTATTATTTAAGAAAAATGGCTAAAAACTCCCTTTTTAAAATGTGAGAGAATTACTGAGACCCATGGATAATGAAGATATTTAATTACTAAAATTTCAATCATGAGTGAGAAAAAAAACCCGATCTCATTTTTACATTGAAATTTGTAATTATATCTTGTTATTAGACTTTTAGGTAATTAAATCTCTATTCTACGGTAATTCTCCCTTGACAATGGTACCTAAAATTCGTAAGTTTCTTGAGCAGGGGTAATTTTTTTTTTTTTTACTGTGTAGGATTGTGCAATTTATTTTTAGCGAGTATAATTTTTTTCAGTTTTGCGTAACATATCTTCAACTATGTCCAAACATTTCTCATTTTCCCCCTAAAATAGGGCTATGCAATTGATCTTTAGCTTGTATGACTTTTCTTAATTTGTATGTAATTTATCTTTAATTATATGCAAATTGAAGACATTTATACATAACTGTATGTTAAAATTTTTAATAGGAAAATTTTTAGCAATTTTTCATACTATTTATAAGAGAACTTATTTTTTCCTATAACAAAATATAAAATACCATTCTCAACTTAAATTATCTTTTATAGTTTAGGATTTATGAAGGATGAATTAGTACATAAAATTTATTCAAATATAAGATAAATTTCGCAAAAAAAAAAATCTTTTTATCGTATTCTTATCGATATTAATTATTTGAATTTAAATGTATATTTAAATAGAAGCAAAGTCAGTGTAAGAAGATAAAATGTAAAGGAGATTATTAAAGCACATACTACCTCCGGATGTAATGCTAATTTGACTTATAATTTAGTCCTCAGTCCACTTTATCTCCAATATTTATCTATTTTGCCCTCAAGTAATTCATAAATTAGTTCCATATGTTAAGGAGTTAGTATCTATAGGTAATTCAAACATACATGATTAACAAAGGTATTTTAGAAAAGACAACATCTATTTATCTACTATGTCTCTCATATTTATCTATTTTTAAAGTAATTCTTGTAATAATAGTGGTTTTAGCCAATACACTTAATTAAGAAGGATATTTTAAGAAAGACAACACATATTTATTACAAATGACTAACTTAACTAATTTTCTTAATATACTCAAATTAGTCAACTCTTAATATACTCAAATTAGTCAACTAACTCTTATATTAAGGACTGGAGGTAGTATTAATATGTCAGATTTTTTTTTTCAAAATTTTTAATATGTCTTTAATTTTTTTAATCCATTGTCTCCATAAATTTCTTTTACAAGTGAAGATAAGGTTATAAGTAAGACAATACTACCCCACATTCTTAATATAAGATCCAATTAACTAATTTAGAAAAATTAAGAAAAGTACTCCCTCCGTTTCAAAATATAAGTTAAACTTTGTTGGAGGAACTTGATTTTTTTATAAGATAACATTCAATTTTGTCTAAGCATTTAATGAGTTTTTTTTTTTCAATTTTACCCTAGATATTCTTTTTTCTTTTTTGATTCATTTATTATATCTTTTACTTATTCTCTTTATTAATAAGAGCATATTTTAAAAAAAATACATGCCTTACCTATTTAATAAACATAAATTAATAAATTTTATCTCATATTTTAAATAATAGAAAGTATCCAATTACTTAATTATAGCACATATTACCTGATCTTTCTAAAATACTTGCGTATACTATTAGATTATATATCAATTTATAAGTAAGATAAATTAATTTAGATAAAATAATAAATATAAATATTTTAAAATAATTTAGTAACTTTCTCGTTGAAATCAGTTAACTATATCGGAGGCAGCAACAAGAATTCATATCGTCAAACAAAAGTTTTCTGTCAAAGAAACAAATGGAGCACGTAAAGCTCACGCTGCATTCTGTGCAAATGCAAAGCATAACTACGAAAAGTTTATGAAATACTAATCCTCCACAATTAGTCAATAATTAACACACGCTTTGCTCTTAACTCAAGCCAAAGGAGGAAGAATCTGAACTTTGAACAATGAGAATCTGAGTGAAAAAAACGATGAAGTATTTGAATGGAAATTCTGACTTGATTTTAGTTCAAACCTTCAAAGTCAAATTCGCTATTTATTTTTGTGTGTCATTACTTGAAGTAGGTAACTAGGCAAGGTTGGAAGCAAAAGATTAGTACTAATTCAAAGGAAAATCTCCTAACGGATCCTTTTTTTTTTTGTAAATTTTTGGACAAGAATTTCGACGGAAATATCAAGGCTGGGCACATTGCGTGGTGTTCGTACGCGTTAACGGGGAAAATCCTGTAATATTCCGTATGATTTAAACTGAAACATCATTGGTCAAGAAAATTATAATGAAATCAACGTTGGTTTCAGTGGAAGTTTGATTGTTTAGATACAAAGTATCAAGTTTGAATGCACATGAATATGGAAAACATTTTTGGGATTGTTTAACTGGATTCGATAATATTCGAATTTGATCCAATCATATAGTTATACTCCTCCAGTCCTTATTATAAGACTCTATTTGACTTTTTATTTGGTCCTAATTATAAGACCCAAATCCATTTGTCTCTTATATTTATACATTTTTTCCAAGATAATCCTCTAATAATGATAGTTTTAGCCAATATACTCATTAGCAAGGATATTTTAGGATGATAACACTTATTTATTATAAATAACCAACTTAACTTACTTCCTTAATCTCCTCAAATAAGTCAATTGGGTCTTATAATTAGGACCGGAGGAGTATCATAAAAAGAAAGTCATATTAAACTAGTATATTTTTTTAAAAAAATAATTAATTGACCTAATCAATACACAGAGGACAATAGGCATACACGCAAAACACTTTTTATGGGGTAAAGACCCAATACTAATACTACCTCCGGTAGTTAATACTATTTCTAATTCTTAATATAAGACTATATTTGATTTTTATTTTGGTTTTAAATATAAAACTCCAATTCATTTTGTCTCTCATATTTATGCATTTTTTTCCAAGGTAGTCCTTCTAATAATTGTAGTTCTAGCCAATATAGTTGATTAGTAAAGATATTTTATGAGAGACAATATATATTTATTACAAATAATTAACTTAACTTCTTTCCTTAATCTCCTCAAATTAGTCAACTGGGTCTTATAAATAGGATCGGAGTTAGTATAAGATATTGTTTGACTTTTATTTTAGTCCTAAATATACTATCTTAATCCATTTTGTTTCTCATATTTATACTTTTTTTTTCAAGATGGTCTTTCTAACAATGATAATTCTAACCAACACACTTAATTGGTAAGGATATTTTAAGAAAAATAACACTTATTTATTACAAATAACTAACTTAATTTCTTTTCTTAATTTTCCTCAAATTAGCTAACTAATTTTTATAATTAGAACCGGAGGTAGTATTTGCTTTACCACTCACATGTTGTAACCGCCCGCGCTTTTGAGGAGACACGTCTCAAAATACATGAATCGATCGGAGGAGACTTCTCATCGAGTTAGATCGAACGGTTTCAATTGATTCGAGTGAAATAAAAACAAATCCCAAGTTATTGGGGAGGGGAGGGGGGGAAGGACTCTTATTATTAAAGTCACTTCTTACAGAGAAAGTAATTAACCAGAAAAATTAACCAAAAGAACATTAATCCAAAGGTTAAGGTGTATCTAGTAACATCAAATATTTTGCCAGGTATGGCTAACATCCTAAAATATTTCGTAATGTACTTAGCATCCTAAAATATTTTTTTAAGTGTGTTCTGTATCCTAAAATATTTTGTGATGTGCTGATACCTTGAATTTTTTTTTTAGTAAAATAATCTGACTACCCTTCTAATTTGCATTAATTACACAAACCTCTCTTCTATTTTAAAAACATACAGTTTAGTTCAATTAGTTAACACCTTTAGGAATATTTTAATAATATTATTTTAAACTGAAATTTATATCAAAATAAAATTTATTTATTATTTTATTCCTCATTCTAATGAATTTCTAAATTATATTTCTATAGTTACATCAATTTCATTCAGTTAAGGCAAACATAAAAGATTTGATTAAAATTTAACTAATTTTATGATTTAAAGTAAAATATGAAAATTATAAAATCTTATGATTTGGATCAAAATTAATAAATTTTATACCATATTAGAAATTTTAAAGATAATTATTTTTTGATTTCATAAAACATTTTTTGGAAACTATAAATGTCTGAATAATTATTAATTTAAAAAGGGGTATTTTGGTCAAAAAATTAATTTAAAGTCAAACATAACAGTTAACTAACGGTTTGGGTAGATGAAAATAAAATTTTAAATATAAGAAGAAGGTTTGTATAACGTATGTTTTAATTGTAAGGGAGGTTTATATACATTTTCAAAATAAAAAGAAGGTTTCGGTAATTGAGGTAAAATATAAGGATAATCGGTATATTTTACTCTTATTTTTTTTAAATGCATTTAACACCCTAAAAATACTTTATAATACTTGATATACATTCATTTAACGAGTCTTTTGAAGAGCTAATGATGAAATTAAAACTATTCATAAAACAATATTTAAAAGCACAATTGCTTCTGAAAAAATTAATACTTTAATAGCAAAATTACTTCAAAAATATTTTTGGATGCTGAATGCTCCTGAAAAAATATTTCAAAGTACTAGATACACCACAGAATACTTTAAAGTATTAGATACATCTAATAAAATACTTTAAAATGCTAAACACATGTTAACCCCTTAATTCAAATTAATGTTAATTAATAATAGGTAACTTGAAGTAATTTACTAAGTACATCCAATATTCTAAAGTATTTTATAGTATATCCATCATTATAAACTAATTTTTTTTAAGTGTATCAAATATCCTAAAATATTTTTTTAATATAATTTTATACTTCATGATTCAATGTGCTGAATGCACACAAAATAATTAAAAATTTTGGATACACATTAAAAAAATATTTTATAGTACTGAATACACTATAATATAATTTATAATGCTGAACACATCTAAAAAAATACTTCAAAATAATAGATACACTACAAAATAACCCATTAGTAGATTATAACAAACCACCGGCCGTTTGGCCCAGTGGCATGCGTGTGCGTGGAGTGCGCATGTGCGGGTTCGATCCCGTTCCTTGTAACAAAAAAAAAAGATTATAACAAACATAATAACGGCATATAATAATATAATGACATTGTAAAAGAACATAAAATAGCCTTATTTTGTATTCTCGTTTGCATACATAGGAGAACACCTGTCAATTGTACAAAAAATAATAAATTACTTTTGATCCTGAGCTCACTCAATCCATCAAATGCAAAGCCTCATAGATCCAGATGGATGAGTCGGATTACTCCAAAACGACACCTTCAACAACCTCATTTTATCTTTGACCTGCAAGATAAGCCAAAATATCTAAAATTCAACATAAAATTACACATTTGTTCATAGTTATCATATGATATCCAACATTATTGGTTAGATTTGAGTATTATGCAATTCAATTAGGAAACTCGAGGCATTTTCTGTATCCATACATACATTTGAGCCTCCTTTTCAAACGCGACAGGAGCCATGCTTAAAGAAACTAGAAACTTTTACCTATAAGCTTTGCAGTTGTCCTAAGCATAGCTCCAGGCAGTTTATTGTGAAAACCTGTCAGTTGCTGCAAAGCATAGACAGCTCTCGTCTATCCGTGGCTCTTTCAGGTCTCCATGCAGCCAGATAGGATGGATTCATACCAGTGAGCGGGCAACAGAATGACAATGTTGTTGGTACAAACATTAATTAGTACCCAAGTCATTTCCCTCAGATAATTGGGAGTCATTTATACTCTCTGTTTCATATCATTTTCATCCCCAATAAATAACTCGAACTTGTGGAATTTGAAACCCATGACTGTCTCTTGCTCCTTCTTGTACACAAAGCAAAACTCAGATGGTTCACCTCATTGAGCAAATTGACGAGCTCGTTATTTTTAAATTTCATACAACGCTGCTGAGACAGCTATTCATATCCATAGTCACGGGTATATCCTCCTTCAACATCTCATCCTTCAAACGCAAGGCTTCTTCATGCCTCCCTTCCTTTAAGTGGACATCAATCATCAACTTATAGGCAACTACGTCTGGCTCAATCCCCATGGCCACCATCTCTTCGAAAAGAGCAAGAACTTCAGCTCTATTTTCTACTGAGTTGTGACCATGCATTAATGATGAGTATGTTACAGCGGTTGGTTTCAGATCTCTCGCCTGCATCTCAATGAAGAGCTGCTTAGCTTTCTCCATATTTTGATCCTTACAATGGTGATCAATCAGAATTGTGTAAGTGATATGATTGCGTGAGATCTTCTTTTCCGACATCTCTTCCCACAATTGATAGGCTCCTTGCAACTTATTATTTTTGCAAAAACCATCAAGTAATATGTTGTAAGAGACAGTAGAGGCCATTCCCTGGCGCAACATTTCTTCAAGTAGATTTTGAGCCTCTTCTAAAAGACCCTTTCTGCAATATAGACTGAGAAGGGAATTGTAGATAAAGTTGTCAGGTTGGACACCTTTCTGAGTCATATCATTCACCAACCGTAAACCCTCATCCAGATTTCCAGACTTGCAGTATCCATCAAAAATTGTCGTATATGTCACAATATTTGGTACCAAACCAGATTCCAATAGGCCATCAAATAAGGTCTTAGCCCTTTCAAGTTCACCAGCCTTACACAGCCCGTCAATCAAGACATTATAGATAACAATTTCAGGTTTTATGCCTTTTTCATTCATTTCTTCAAGAAGTTGAAAAGCTTTCTCCATTTCACCTTTTTTACAGAAGCCATTAATGATAGAACCATAAGTAAAAACATCCGGAGCCAACCCTCTGCTATTGAGCTCCGAAAAGAGGGTCATTGCTTCTTGCATTTTTCCATTCTTTGAAAGACCACTAATGAGCACACTGTATGTTTTAACATCTGGGAAAACACCTCTTGCAAGCATGCTCCTAAATATGGTGAAGGCTTCTGTTACATTCCCAGCTTTGCAGTGGCCATCAATTAAGAGCGTATAAATTACGTCATCTGGCATGACACCATCCTCTATCATGTCATTGAAAATCAAGTCAGCCATCTGCATGTTTCCTGACTTACTGTATGCTTGGATAAAAGCTCCATATGTATACGTATTAGGCTTTAATTGACTTTTCAACATTTCATCTAAATAAACCTTTGCTTCTTCTATCTTCTGGGCCCTACATAGTCCCACGATAATAGAATTGTAGCAGAAGACATCTAACGGGATCCCCTGCTCTTTCATGCTCTCCAGTATTTTTCTCATCTTTTTCACTCTGCCTTCCTTGGCATTAGCTGAAATAAGGGCGGTGAAGATAACAACATTTGGTTTTAAACCACTTCTGACCATTTCCTCCAAGAAAGCATCAGCCTCAGGAAGCTTACCACATCTGCAAAGCCCATTAATAATAACACTGTAAGTTATCTCAGAGGGTTTCAAGCTTTGTTTCTTCATCTCATCAAATAACTTAAAGGCAGTATCCATATCACCCTTCCTGCAGTATCCCTCAATCAAAGTTGTATAAGTTCTTGAGTTCAATCTAATTCCTAAGCTTTTTATCTCATCTAGAATTTCTCCAGCCCTATCCATCCTACCTGCCTTAGACAAGCCATTAAGAAGGGTGTTATATACGACCACATCTTCAACGAGACCATTTTTTAACATTTCATTCTTCATTTTAAAAGCCTCTTCCACATTACCTTGCTTCATAAAAGCATCAATGAGAGCATTATAGCTGAGAGAATCAGGCTTCAATCCCACATTAACCATTTCTGATAAAATTAATTTTGCTTCACTGAGGTGCTTTTTCATGCAAAAACCATTAATAAGAGCTAAATAAGTGAATTTGTCCGGGGCCATCTGATTCTCAACCATATATTTTTTAATTTTCATTGCTTCATCAAGTAAACCTGCTTTACACAAACCATCAACAATCACATTATAAGTCACTTTAGTAGGTCTGCAACCTTTATCTACCATTTCACTGAGGACCCTTTTCCCCTCACAGGTGTTACCAGACTTGAAGTGTGCGTTAATTATAGATGTGTAAGTGTAAGCATCAAATGGCATATTCATCGCTGACATTTTATCACAAACTTTCCAAAACAAATCAAATTTGCGCGCCTTTAACAAGTCACTCAATAATGAGTTGGCAGTCAACAAACGAGGCACAAAATTGATCCTCTCTGATTCCAAAAGCACATGAGAAGCCTCATCCAACAAACCCAATTTCCTGTAACTATCAATTAACATTTCAAAGACCACTGAATCAGACCTCTGATTACTTGCCTCCCGATAACAACCATCAATAGAATCCAAAATATCAAATGGAGGCTTGAAATCTCGTGCCATACGGCCAATTATGTCAGAAGCCGGGCCATAAAACTTTGAATCACAGAGAGCAACAACAAGAATACATAAGGTATCCAAATCTCGAAGTGTACCCATTTTTTGTTCGGACCAATGGAAGAAGCTGAGAAGACGCCGAGGGTCACCCCTACGGTTTTGGTGTATGACAGATTGGATTACATCCGGATTCAGCTTGGATAAGATGCTTGGGGAATCCATATGAAGGTGCCAATTGTCAAGCTTGAGAATGTTTGTGATCTCCTGCACTGTGTCTTGGGTCTGTGCAATGCTATAGTACACTGCTTTATGAGAAGAATAGTGGCATCTTGCGAGAATATTACGGTTCTTATGTAAAAATCTCCACATTTTGCTCTTGAATAGATGAATTGATTAAACTCAGACGAGCTATGCAAAATGTGAGAGGAAGAGGAATAAGCCGCTCATAAATTCTCGGGAAAATTAGAGTGAAGGACCTAGAGGAAACAATAATTATTAGAGAAGATCATAAAATTGTAATTATGTAAAAGTACCAAATACCAAAATATAAATTTAAAAATACTGAATTGCCCCTAGCCAAAACTCCTACATTCGCTCCAACCACATCTCAGTTACATGTTCCCTACAGTCGATCACCTACTCTATTTAAAAAGGCCTTGCTTCTTTGCTTAGGAGTACCGTCGCTTATTAGAAAAAGCCCCAAGCTTAAAGGTATCGGATGGGAATCACAGCATTACTGTTAGCAACCCAGAACCATCCAGGTTTATTTTGACCGATACATTAGTTTCTGTAGTGACCCTTTTGACCTCTCCAATTATATCTCCTGAAGATGACCAGACAAATATACAAAATCACATGTGCATTCCAAAATGTTGAGCAACTACTTTATAATCATCTGAAACGTTTTACTAGGCTTCTTACCAAAACAAATGCATCTAGTTATCATCACGGAACGCAGATATGAAGTAGGTGCAACATTTTACCACAACTTCAATATTTCCCTTTTTGACAGAAGACAGGAGACAAAGTCCCCCCAAAAAAAAGCCCTTTAACGAAGACATAGAACCCAATGAAAAGCGGCAATCATCCTAATGGAGAAATCGAGAAGAGAAAAAACTAAGTTTATCAGGCTCGGAAGAGTTGAACGCATAAATAAGTGATTAGGACAAAGGGCATATTTGTTCTTGTGCGAGCAGCAGGTTTACATTTTCTTCCAATAAATTAATGGTCCAATGAAATGGCGAAGTAAAAGAAGTCTTTATGGAAGATATAGGGGGGGAAAAAGCCAAAACTTTAAACATTCAAGATGTTCCTAGAATCAAAATAACGACCAATAATAAAAGTTCATAAATTTGGAGACAACACAGCAAGGCAAGCATAGACAACTAGAAACCAATTTCAATCCAGGGAAGTAGAAAACATTTTTCACTCATTTGTAGCAAGACAACAAGAAGCACATCAATACATGGGCAGCGGCAGATCTTACACAGGAAAGCCTTGATGCAGCGGAAAATATGCCCTCGTTGGCCTGTAACCTTCTTCACCTCCTTCTCTCAGAATCAGAAATTCCTCTTTTTGTTTTTCCAGGAAAGTGAGGGATGATGTCTTCACTTGGAATGGGGGGAAGCCAGCGAATGACGAAGGCAGTGGCACAGAATACAGATTGCTTCTGCTTTCTCTTCATTCACATTGCCTTTCCTCTTCTACTTTATTAGAGGACGACTCGTGATGTGCGAGCCCAAGACGAGGAGAAAATTAATGGTGTGTTTGGTTCAACGAAGTGGAGGGGAGGGAAGGGAAGGGAAGGGAAGAGGAGAGGAGGGGTTCTAATGAATGGGAAGAGAGGGAAGGTGTTCTAATATTACCTTATTTGGTTCAGGAGGGAAGGGGAGGGGAGAGATTTTTATATGACCAACTTTGCCCTTATTTTATTTTTATATAACAAAATATTTTTATATGCCTTTTAATATGCTTACTAATTTTATTAATTAGTTAAAATTTCAGAAACTTGTTACCTTACTCAAATATCAGAAATTATTTTTATATGCATTTTAAATGATGATTTTATTAATAACCTAATATGTCATTAATTTTAATATGCTTTTTAAAATCTTTTACCTCTCTAAAATATGATAAAATTAGAAAATTAAGTTGGATAAAAAGAGACAAGACCCCAACCACAATACAAGATCCTCCATACACTAGGAAATTATATTTAAACCTCCATTTTAGACAATAATGACCAAAACAATGTTGGAATTGGAGTGCCGCAAGACTATGAACTGTGAGAAAATTCTCTATTGGTAAGTTGCAAATTAAAAACACAAAATTGTAGCTCACTGCAAGTGTAAATTTTGTAAGTTACATAATCGATGGGGAAACAACCCCCTTCAAAACCTTAATTGCAAGGAGAATGCTATGATGTGAATTTCAGAGCCACGGGCCAATCCCTTCTAAGTTAATACTTTAAACAATAAGAATATAATGAGGGGTATCAACTGAGTACATAAGGTTGCACATCAAACTTCTACAAGGCTGAAAGGCAAAGTCACAAGCAATCAGTTTAATGAAAATGAAGATCACCATAGGACTGGTAATACAAATCAATCTATCTATGTCCCACGTGATCATGAAGTCGCACAAACAGTAAACACAGAGAAAAAGCAACTGTTCAAGATTAGTTGATTGTGAGAGTCAAGCACGCAGCACCTCAAGCAATTAGATTGGGACCTTAATTGTACTAATAATGCAACAGCATCCTTAACTTGAACTTTCAAACATGCCATACAGCCTCACAGTACGGTCTCAAAAATGATTGAGCATAACCATCAAATTAGACAAGGAACAAAGTAGACCAAATAGAAAGCCACAAGATTCCAACGCAAAAACAATCACTTTGGATGGGCCCCCTCGAACAGGGAAGTCACATTTACCAAAGGCTGTAGCTACACAGGCAAAATCCACATTCATTATATATACTATATTGCATTCCTCATGGCGAAGACGTCGGGGTTGGCTCACTATGGAATGAATACTGTTATATGGAACTCAATCAAGGATGCCTTAACCAAAAAGCTATATCAATTTTGAACTTAATCTTCTTTAAAGTGCATATCGATATTCCCGACATATGTATTGCATTTAAAAACTTCAGCTTTTTGGTTTTGTTTAGTCAGACTTCAACTTCTAATGTATGTAACAACTTCGACGCTTCTTGGTTTATCCTACATTGCAAGTCAGAGAATTTTAAGTTCGATTAATTGTGAGAGAAACTAGAAACAAAGAAGAAATGGGAAATCTGAATCAAAGAAGAAAAGGAATAAAACCAGAAACATGAAACCAGATAGTTGAGACAAGCATGAGCAAAACAAGGACGAAGAACATAAGAATATCTATAATCTAGAAGAAATACTCACCTGACGACAATAAAAATGGATAGAAGAAAAAAGGCTGCGGCAGAGGGACCAGGTGGCGCCGACGACGACTGGAGGAGGAGATGCGACAGGCACCGATGCGGGCAGAAGAGCGGCTGAACCCCGAAGCGAAAGAAACGAGAAGGGCTTACAAGTAGGGAAATTTTCAGTTAGCCCCTCTAGAGAGATTTAATTTCCAACTGCCCCGTAAGGTTCTGAAACTTCGTTCATCCCCTTTGACTAATATAATATAGGGTTAAGGTGCACCCAGCACCCTAAATATTTTTTCAGATGTACCCAGTGGCTTAAAGTAAATTATGGTGCAATTTTACCCTCAAAGTAATTAAAATGGTACACCGGTATCCTATGCTAACAGATCTGTTACTTTGACTGTGAAATTGATGAGTCAGCACAAGTTTGATCAAAATAATCTGACCTGGCATGTCTAATAAACAGGTGACATGGCTTTTCTTGTTAATTCCATTGTTTTGTCTGAATATTACTCCTCTGGTCCTATTTATAAGGCACTTCCAGTATGTTTCACACAAATCAAGGAAAACCTTAAATTTCATTAACTCTCATTTAAATTTTAATAACTTTTCAACTTTATCCCTATTTAATATATATTATACCTCATATAAACAAAGTCAATACAATAATAAATGAGGGGTAAATTTATACATCCATACAAAAAATTTCTCTCATTGCCTTATAAATAGGACCAAAAAATATATTCTCTCTCTACCCTATAAATAGGACCAGAGGAGTATCTCTGAAAAAATTTCTTACTCTGAAAAAAATTCCAAGAGCCGAAGAGAGCATTTACTGAACAGAGAAAACAAAGCAGTGGCAGACAAAAAAAATTCCACATTACCTGCTTATTAGACATGCCAGGTCAGATTATTTTCGTTAAACTTGTGCTGACTCATTAATTTCACAGTCAAAGTAACAGATCTGTTAACATAGGATACCGGTGCATCATTTTAATTACTTTGAGGGCAAAATTGCACCATAAATTACTTTAGGCCACTGGGTGCACCTGGAAAAATACTTGGGGGTGCTGGATGCACTTTAACCCCAAAAAAATTCCACATCACCTGCTTATTAGACATGCCACGTCAGATTATTTTGGTCAAACTTGTGCTGACTCATCAATTTAACGGTCAAAGTAACAGATCTGTTAGCATGGGATACCGGTGCACTATTTTAATTACTTTGAGGGCAAAATTGCACCATAAATTACTTTAAGCCACTGGGTGCACCTGACAAAATACTTGGGGGTACTGGATGCACCTTAACCCTATAATATAATTATGCCCTTGCATTTTTTTTTTCCAGTTTCAGTAGCCAGCTAGCTGGTGCTCCAGCCACTGATGGCTAGAGCTCCTCCAGCCAAAGAATTTTTTTCAAAAATAGGATGGCAAATGAAGAATTTGATTCCATGCCTATTGACAGACCAAAAAATTTAAAACCATAACATCATTATTTTTATTCCTAAAATTTAATTAAATTTATATATAAATACTCCCTCCAGTTCAAATTATAAGCTAAACTTTCTTAAAGACGTTGTTTTTTTATAAGATAACATTCACTTTTATCCAAGCATTTAATAAGTTTTTTTCAATTTTACTAGCATATATTCTCTTTACTCTTTAATTCATTTGTTACATCTTTTATATATTCTCTTCATTATTACAGGTATATTAGGAAAAGCAAATATATGCCTTACACATTTATTATTTTAAATTGATTTTAATTAGTTTATTGATAAACGTAATGGATAAAGTTTAGCTTATATTTTGAACCGGAGGGAGTATCTTTTAGTAGATTGCCACGCATCAGGACTGCATTTATTTGGAACTTATTTTACTCTATCATATTTTTATTTTGTTTGTTTTAATGAACATATTACATATTCTATCTTTGATTTATTTTATCTAGACAATGGCTTGAAGTGCTAGTAGTAAGCCGGAGGCCCTTAAATTGCATGTGATTGAAGTATTTGTGGATCTATAATACAATAATAACAATTTCTGCAAGTTTAGTTATTGTTAATATCGATTGAGGTAATCAAATCTAAATTGCTATTATAATTTATCAATTAGAGGTGTGTTGTTTTATAACCATGTTAGCTATGACTAATCTTTCCTAACATGATTTGCGTGTGAATGTACTATGATAGTATATGTTGATTACAGATGATAAGTTTTTTTTTTTTTAACCATGATAGCCTTAGTTGAGGTTAAGTATCTTTCCATCATGGTTAGCCCCCTTAAAGATGTGATAACTTCTAAATAACCATGATATGGTATGTTTACTGGTTTTATTCCTTTCTATCATAGTTGGTTTTGGTTCTAATGAGATGAGTGGTGATGTTACAATAAATATTTGGTCATCCAATCCATTTAATCATGTAATGTAATTATATATATATATATATATATATAACAAAACAAATACAAATGTGTGAATGAACTAAAATAAGATAATTAACAATACATAGTAGACGATCTTTATGAGGTATATGGGAATTCACAATTCTATTTGAGGTCTTATGGAGAGAAAAATTAAATGTCAAGAGCTGCATGAAAAACTGAAATTAAACAATTTATAACATAAATTAGACAATTTGCAAGAGGTCTATAGAAATTTACAATTTCATTTAAGGTCCTGTGAAGAGAAAAATTAAATACCAAGGATTATATGAACAACTGAAATTAGACAATTTACAAAATAAATTTAAACACTTTTATTTCTTTTATTGTGGATCCCTTACTCTAATTTGAAGCATTTTTATTTGTTTTATTGTTTGCAATTTATAATTTTATATGCATATTTCTTTCCTAATAAATTTCAATTGTGCTTGTCATAATTTTACAATGCAAATTCTCTCACTCTAATGATTTAAGTATTAAGAGTTGTATGAACAACTAAAATAAGACGAAATTTGTGTTGTAAAATTATGACAAGCGCAATTAAAATTTATTATAAAAAAATATGTATATAAAATTATAAATTGCAACCAGTAAAAAAAAATTGATTCAATCATTAGAGTATAGGATCCACAATAAAAGAAATAAAAATTGTCTAATTTGTATTGTGAATCATCTTATTTAAGTTATTCATACAACTCTCATAACTCTCAACATCTATTTTTTTCCTGCACAGGACCTTAAATGGAGTTTTAAATTCATGTATACCTATTGTAAATTACATAATTTGTATTGTAAATCATCTAATTTTAGTTGTTCATGTAACCTTTGACATTTAATTTTTCTTTCAACATGACCCTAAATAAAATGTGAATTGCTATATATCTTTTACAAATTGCCTAATTCGTAATGTCAATTGTCTAATTTCAATTGTTCATGCAACCTTTAACATTTCATTTTTCTCTTTATAGGACCTAAAATGAAGTTGTGAATTCCCACATATCTTTTGCAAATAGTCTAATATGTGTTTTGAATTATCTTATTTTGGTTGTTCATTTACACATGAGCATTTGCATGTATTTTGTTATATATATTTTTCTTTACATCATATAACTAAATAAATTAGATGACTTGATGGTTATAATATATTTTGTATACCAAAAAGTCATGGGTTCAAACCCCATTAATCACATTATTTTGAGTGGGGGGGGGGAATCTTTACAAAGGGACTATGAGTTCAAACCCTCTTGGCCACCTTATTTTTAAAAACAAATCTTTGGCAAAAGAAGCTCCAGCCACCAACATCAAGGGTTCCAACAGTCAAAACTCCAGTGAGGTTGATATAATGCAAGGGTATAGTTGTATTTCATTTATAATATTTAACTTTATTTTGGCCAAAGGGGCTAAAATGAGTTTCAGAATTTCATGAAGAATGGTGGAAATTAAATTACTTCATAATGGGTTAAATTTGAGAGGAATAAGAAAGAAGGAGAGGAAAGCAGAAAAAGACAAAAATTCTCCTTCCTTTTTCTTCCATTTTTCTAAACCAAATAGCTTTGCCATCTCTTTTCCCCACTACCTTCCTTTCTGTCCACTCTAGATAGACACTGGCTAAAAGATCAACTAAATTTATAAAATTTCAAATCAGTTTTAATAACTAAGTTAGAATTTAAAAATATTAATAAATTTATAATAAAATAAAAAATTCCAAAAAATTTATCAACATTTAAAAATAAAAAATTAAATAATAATATTGTAAATTTACCAACATTTGAAAATATCAATATTTAAAATTTTGTAAATTTAATTAAAATTTTAAAATTTTGAAAATTAAACTATCATTTTTTTAAAAAAAATTCAAGAAAAGTCTAATCTTTTCGTCTTTTGAGTTTTGACTTATAAGACTGGTTCTTTCAATTATGATTTAATGTAACTCGATTATTAAGTTGTTACTAGTCTAAATTCGGTCCTTCATCTCACGTTTAATAATTTAATTCTTATCGTACATGACTTGTTTTGAGTCATCAACTAACTATTTTATGTGGCAAAAAAAATTCCCTAATGTCATTAAAAATTGCCTTCTTGCATTCAAACTCAAGTCGTGCATCTAGTAAGAAATTCAAAAAAAGAAAAAAGAAAAAAAGAGAGAGCATTTGGATTTCATCACCCTCTGTCAGCAATGTCTTCAATTGATTGATGACTCAAAACAAGTGATGTATAATGAAGATTAAATTATTAAATGTGAAAATATAAGAAAATGAGTTTTAAGTGCGGGCATAAATTAAGAAATCAAGTTGTGTCTAATTATAGTTGATAGATTAAAGTATTTCTCCGGTCTTAAATATAAGACCTTTATACTAGTGGTCTTGTATTTAGGACCGGAAGAGTATAAGTGATCTAAAATTTTGAGGAAAAAATAATTTTCCTTTTATAACAATCAAGGATGCTTTTATAAATCGAACCTCAATTGGTGTGAATATGCATCTCTAGAAAGTCTAAAAGGGTGTTTTAAATCCTCCAAAAACATTTTTAAAAAATATTTTGGGAAAATCATATTGGAGGTGCCGATACTTTTTTTCAATTTTCAATTTGGTACCTATGTGTTTTTTGTTCTTAACTAAATCTTTATTTTTTCTCTATTAACATCATTAATCCTTATGTAGAGACTAAAAATATCAATAGAACAAAGTTATAAGAGCTAATGTTGCTAAAAAGATAAAATTAAATGTTTAATTAAAGGGAAAAAAAACACATAGGTACCAAATTAAAAATTGAGAGAAAGTATAGGTACCTTCAATATGGTTTTTCCAAATATTTTTATATAAATTGAAACAAAATTTCTACCACTTAAGTTTTCAAACTCCCTAAAATTACTTACAAAAGCCTATTCCAAATACTATTAAAACTTGAACACATTATCTAAACAGCCTCTAAGGTTGGTTTTAAAATAAGCTTTAGTTTATGAGGCCCAACTCCTATATGCTAGGCCAGAAGATGGCTTCACTCGTAGGAATCCAAACCAACTCGTTTTTATATACGGACATGGTTTGGGTTTAATAATATAATTAGTTCTTCTGAATAGAAAATTAAGGTTTGAATCTTTATTAAAAAAAGTGTTCATATTTAATATCACATAGTATCTCAAATAAGATTGTTTCAAATAAAAAGATATGTATGCTTAATAAAAAATAACTCGTTTTTTTTCCTTTTTGTTTTAAAAAATCATGAAAAATTGAAAATATTTTTTCTTTTAATTTTTACATAGCGACTAGTGAACTTTATACAAAGTTTTAGTATAATTTCTTAATTTTATAATGTATCTTCTCAATTGTACACCCCTAATATTATTGGTCTCAAATAATTATTTTTTGTTCTAATCATTATTTTTGAAGAAAATCAAATCTAATATGTTAATATTTTGTGCTTCAATATAATTACCAAAGATAAGAGCTATAACTTGTTTCCAATATTCAGGACTTTAATCAAACCAAGCTTCCGCAATTGTCGAATCTTCCTGTTGAACAGCTTGTTCTTTGCGGCCTGAACCGGTAAGAAAATTCCCTTCCATTAGAATGATACTTGAGAGTTTCCTATCTCATATTAAAAAATATTTTATTAATATTTAAAATTTTAATAATGACTTTCTATAAAGAAACTAATAGTATTAGAATTAATATTAAAAATTTATAAAATTAAAAAATTACGATAAAGTTTAATGCAAAATTAAAGAAGCAAGGATGCGCTTTCGTCACTAATAAAATAAAATATCTAGCATAGCCATACTCAACTGCTATCAGATTTCAAATTGTTGGACCGCTTTGCATTTACAGGCTTGCGGATCCACAGGAATCTCTCCACGTTCAATTGCTGGGACAGACAGTCGGCACGTGTGACTTTACCAGTGTCGTTTCTTTCCGGGTTTTTTTTAAAAAAAAATATTTAAATCAAATTTTTTATATTCATTGTATAAAAAGTTCTCCAATCATATATAATTAATCAATCATGTGTGCTATTTTTTCTTATAAGTTTATAATTAATATTAATATTTTAAAAATAGAATAAATATTATGCGTGATTAGACAACATATGTAAATACTGAAAAAAATCATATACTTCCCAATCATTAATATGAGAGTCACTTGATCCATGACGTATTTTGGAAAACTTAATTTAATTAATTAATTATAATCAATATGATATTTTTTTTAAATATGCATACACGATGAATTATAAATTAGATTATAAATTAGATAAATTTAGTTAAATTGGCAAAACAAAGATAAATTTATTCTAACAAATATGATTAGTATAAGAAATAAAATAAATTAAAATTTTATATTCACAACCGAATTTAATCTCACAACTAGTTTTTTCAGAGGAAAAAAACACCGGCACCCTTAAAAACGATCTCCATTGACTTGGTCGTCCTCACGCTTCTCCCCCAATCCTCCGAGGGTTAATGTGCATAAATTCTGCATCTCTCGGTCTATATTGTTTATAGTGGACATACGAATGCCAAATATTAATTTATTTTCTGAATTTAATGTTGTATGATCAAATTAGAGTTTCTTTGCCAAAATGAAAAGGCAAAAGTTAGATCTTTTCAAAAAGAAAATGCTCAGGTGGCTCTTGTGTGAGTACTGGAACTTGGGAGGGAAATTTGGATGATCACAAGTCACACCTTAGGGTTTCTGAAGATTGCAGATAAATACAGTAAGGCTTTTCTACTGAGCATTTAAAACAAAAATTAATTATTAAATAATTAAATAGATATTTTTACAATATTGGATATTAAAAGAGACTGTAATATTGCAGCTCCACTGAATACACGTTGAATGGAAAGATTATGAAAAAGTCCCAAAAAATTATAATTATAAATAAGTAACATATGAAAAAATTAATACTGATTGTTCAAAATTACATATAAATATAAAAAAACCAATGGTGTTCATATTTTTTCGGTCAAATAATGGTGCTAATATTAAATAACTAAAAGCATATTTTTTAAATTTAAAAGACTAACATGAAATTTGAAGTAAATTTAGAGGTCTAGACATATAAAATTATATATTTCTTGTTTTTTTAGGCTGTATCCATGGCTTTACTGCTTTCTTTTTTCTTTCTTCAGCTTCGGCTACTGGGGACATGTATTCTGTCTTTTTGATTATCAATAAAATGGACTGCTGTTTTCTGGTAAAAAAAATTAACCCAGAATTAAATCACGAATAAGGATTCCGTTGGCCCAAAAAAAATTACGAATAGGGATTGAAAATATCAACTTCTATTAATTGTTTTGTACAATCCTACCTGCATGGATGAAAATTAGTCAATGATAATTAATGAATTAATTAATTCTTAGGGAAAATTGCAAAAAAAGACTTTGACAACTTCAACAACTTCAGATAGTTGTGAAGTTGTCAAGGGTCCCTATCTGCGTTTTTACAATTCCAAAGTCTTTTTTACAATTTCCCCTAATTCTTATAGGTACAGGGGTCGTTTTCGGATGGATAGTTATCTGCTTATTTGTATGATTTATTAGAAAGGATGCGCCTAATTCAACGGTTAATTTATGTGACTCAAACGTATATGTAATATGTTCATTTTAAATTATATAAAATTAAAGCCTTGAATTTTAAAAAACCAATGCAATAATTAAAACTTATATGTTCTTCTTCTTTTTTTGGCCAGCAAAACTTATATGTTCATTTCAAATTATATAGCATTCCCAGCAAAAAAAAAAAAAAGCCTTAGAAAATTATACTATTAATGTAATTTTTAAAGGATTTAGATGCGTCAAATACTCTAAAGTATTTTTTTCAGGATTTTATGATACATCTAGTACTCTGAAATATTTTTTAACTGCGTTCAGTATCACAAGTATTTTTAGTGTATTTAGCACCTTAAAATATTTTTTTAGATACTTCTAGTACCCAAAATATTTTTTGGTACATCTAGCACTAAAACAAAAACAAAAAATTCAAAGTGTTAGATGCATATGAAAAATATTTCAAGATGCTGAATGCACCACTAAATATTTCAAAGTGCTGGATGCACCTAAGAAAATATTTCGAAGTGCTAGATACACTTTAACCCATTTTTAAATTAAACAGGGATCAATGAATTTCTTATGTATTATTTATCACATTACTAACTTTTGTCATTAATTTTTTAACATATTTTTTTAATAAAAACACTAAATATATAGGTTAAGGCAAGATTTTTTTCAAAAAAAGGAATATTTAAATTCATGTACCATTGCATCAATATTAGTTTATTTCATATAAAATGTAAACATGAACATTACATTCTTTAATAGATAACGAGTTGACTAGAATTTCACGCTTTGCATGCGCCTATAATTAAAAATTCACAACAGATTCTTTTTTTCATGACCAAAAAATCATTTATATTTTATATTAATTCTTTTGATATAATGATCAAATTTTATTACAATACATTAAATCCCATAGATTTTATATCACATTGATATCGATTACATCATAAATTTTTTTTAAAAAATTATTATTTTTAATACAAGGCCACGTACAAGGTCATGGGATAGACAATATAATTAGATCAAGTTAGAGCTCAATGAGTTCTTACATCCAAGAGATGAATCATATAAAATCGTTATATTGACCGCCTTATAACTAAATTAATTAGTAAGCAAGTTAGTCCTCATATTTGTTAATTTTTGTTTTTGTAAATACGTGTTTAATAGTAACAAATAATAATTGAGTCAAATTAAGAAATTATAATTATAAATCTATGATACTTGAGGAAACAAGCTAGGTTATACGGCAACTAATTATTTAATTTAATTATTCTTTTTGTTATTATAAGTTTCGAATAATTAATTCATGAATAATAAACAATTAATTAAAATTAATTTAAAACAATAAATAGGTTAGAATTATGTTTTTGTTTTCAAATACTCCCTCCAATCTTATATATAAGTTTTATTTTTGGAGAGAGGTCTGATCCAAAATGTAAGCTTTACTTTTAAGTTTATCTAAATATTTATTACTTTTTTTTTCTTTATTTTGTTCTTAGTTAACTGTATTTAGTATTATCTCTCTCATATTAATATCACTCCATATGTTCTCTTTCATTATTTTTTCATTTGTTGCCTCTCTCATTTACTCTCTTAATAAATAAGGGCAAATTTAAAACAATATATATTTCTTACTTATGTATTATTTTTTAACTGCTAATTTGTTAAACATGATTCAATTATTTGAAATTTATATATAGGACTAGATGGAATATACCCTTATAATGAATAAGAAAAAAAGATGAAAGAGAATATGTCAAAAAAATAATAAAAATAATTAAGAATAATATTAAAAAAATACATTAAATGTTTAGATAATTTAAATTAAAACTTATATTATATATTTTTAATTTGGAAGCCGATGGAGTGTTGCATAAGATGGCAAGTATCATTGCATTTGTAAAGTATAAATCAAAAGATTGTGATTATTGGGGTGGTTGGTAAATTCACGAAGCTGCGTGTCCCTCGTGCCTCGCAGTAGTTAAAGCTCAAGCTCCTGCAATTCCTCGTGTATATATATTTTGCGGCCCTGCCACGGACGTGCTTGTGCAGCTGCGCCTAACTAAGTGAAGAATCGTCTCTTGCTTTCTTCGTCTCGTTGCCATCGTCTTCGTTCCTTACATCCCTCCGCCACCACCGAAGCTGAGGTACGCACTTGAACTTCTTTCTGATTCTACTTCTTGTTTCGGCTCAAATCAGAGTCTGCAATTTCTCGCGCTTTTTTCTTGGCATTTTGTGTTGTTCCACTTTCTTTCGAACCTGCTCGCATTTTGCTTCCTTGCTTAGCTGAAATTAAGTTAGATTTGTTGTTTATCTTGAGAGATTTTGTACTTTCGGTATGTTCGGGGCATTGATGATTGCATGTTCCGTGATTTTCATTTCGTTTTAGATCTGTCTAACTTCTGCGCGTTTCTCTCTTCTATTGCGTTTGCTGCTTTGGTTTCTGTATTTTGTTTGGTTACTCAGAAAAATGCCGGGAGTCCTGCATAGTGGTAGATAGTAAATTTTGTGAGATCATATGTGAAGGATAAACGATCATTTCGTTCTTGAAAGCTACTGCCGCCGTTAATTTAGTCCTTGAAAAATCATTGATACCGATTTACTCCTAGTATTTTTAAAAATACGTAGTGTTTGTTCACTTAATTGATATCGTTGCAATTTTTCTAAGATCAAATTGATGGCAACAAGCTTCTTTGACAGGACCAAATTTTTGTTATTAGGACATGAACGATAATAAACTTTCACGGACTAAGTTGATGTATTGAAATCTTCGAAGGTTTAAAATGATAGATTTCTCATCAAACAATTATGCAAGCGAGAAATAAGGAAGGAAGGAGAACTACACACAAAAGCCTCAGCTCGTCCAGTTTAAGAGAATGCTTGACTTTCTATTTTTTTACCAGATATTTGAACAATGAATTATCTAAGATAAAATTGAGATTTCTTTCTTATTGTGGTCCATATATGTCTTCACATATTTGAAGCGGGTGGGACGTGTAATAAATTGTTATTTTTGTGAACTAATCACTTTTATAATCCATACTTAAGTTCTAGAAGCTAGTAATTAACAGTACTCTGTAGATTTTCTAAATTGTTGAATATAATGTTTGTCAATTTGTGTACTGTCCTTTGGTCCCTTCTCTGTCATCTAGAGTTCTTAAGTTATATTGTGACAAGTGCAATTAGTATTTTTGAGGCCTATCAGTTTATGATGCTGCTGGTGTGGTTATCATCGTTGAAGTTAGTTTTTTGAGATTTGAAATATTATCTTATTTCTCATATCTAAGTACACTGCTTTTATGTTTCAGTTTGCAGAATTCAATTTCTTCTATTGATGGCTCCGTTGGCAGCAGCATCTTCAGATTCTATAAAGCCTAGAGGTCTTTATTAAACTTGTTTAAATGGACCATCAGATGAATATAAGTATACTCATAGGCTTACAAAATAGAAATATTAAAATTCGTAACATTTGCTCAAACTTTATGTCACAATGATAATCCATGTATTCTTTGCTCTCCTCATTCTACTGTTCATCACTGTTATTAAGTAAACATTTATTTAAGCAGTTGTAATAATTAAGAGAAAAGATGCCATAACTTTGATCATTTTCTAATGTCTCAACTTTTGTACTTTTGATAGTTCAATTTATCCTACTAGTTTATTCATTTGTTTATACAGATGTTTGCGTCGTTGGAGTTGCCCGTACACCGATGGGTGGGTTTCTTGGTACTCTGTCATCTTTATCTGCCACCAAGCTAGGTTCTATAGCTATTGAAGGTAGGCGTCAAATCCTGTGTCTGTGCTTTTAGCGTTTTAAAATTTCTGATAATTATCTATTTTTCTTTGTCCTCACATCCTTTTTATTGATATCTAGCTGCACTTAAAAGGGCCAATGTTGATCCATCACTTGTACAAGAAGTATATTTTGGGAATGTTCTCAGTGCTAATTTGGGGCAAGCTCCTGCTAGACAAGCTGCTCTAGGGGCAGGAATACCGAATTCAGTGATCTGCACCACTGTGAACAAGGTTTGTGCATCAGGGATGAAAGGTCTGTAATTTATTGCAATGGAAATCCTTTTATTTTATTCTTTTTGCCTGTTATTATTTTAAGAACAATGATGCTAAACTTGTCTTGGTCATTTCAGCTACAATGCTTGCAGCACAAAGTATTCAGCTAGGAATCAATGATGTTGTTGTAGCTGGTGGTATGGAAAGCATGTCTAATGTACCAAAGTATCTGGCAGAAGCAAGGTTAATGTTTCCTTCTCTGTGCTTAATCCATTCATTGAAATATGCTGAACTGAATCACACTGACAATTCAGGAAAGGATCCCGCCTTGGACATGATTCTCTGGTTGATGGGATGCTGAAAGATGGCTTATGGGATGTCTATAATGACTGCGGCATGGGCACATGCGCTGAATTATGTGCAGATAAACATGAAATTACTAGAGATAATCAGGCACTTAACAGAATTTCTATATTGATTAATTCAGAAAGATTGTCATATTGGATCTTAATTGATGTCTCTGTTGGGTCTGCAGGATAATTATGCAGTTCAGAGCTTTGAGCGTGCTATTACTGCCCAAGAAAGTGGTGCTTTCACATGGGAAATTGTTCCAGTTGAGGTTTCCGGGGGCAGGGGAAGACCATCCACTATTGTTGATAAGGATGAGGGTCTGGGAAAGGTAATCATGCAAGTCAAACTCTTACCAGGCTAAAACTCACTACTGTATCCAGAGACATAGAATGATAGAAAGATACATATCTGTGGGCTCTTTATAAGCCTTATGCAGTACTTTTAGTTTCAAGAGAGTTTTGAACTCTTGATGAGAATATTGATTTTCAAAGCATGAGAATACTGCCTTGTATTCTTTATCAAATACATTTATTTTGACATTAACACAAATAATTAATTGGAATATTGGAAATTGCAATCCACAAGTTTTTTCTGCAAATATACAGTCCTATTTATCATGTATTAGTTGCAGAATCTGTTAACTTACTGTACTTTAAGGTTCTTCACTACTTCACATAAGCATTTGAATGTAGATATTTTATTTAGCTCTTTTCTTCCCAAAAAGATTTACCTTGGCATTTTGATATGCTAGTTTGAGCTGCCAAGTTGCGAAAACTAAGGCCAAGTTTCAAGGAGAATGGTGGTACAGTTACTGCTGGCAATGCTTCCAGTATAAGGTTAAGTAACATCAACATTTTATCTGGAATTGTTCTTCAACTTTTACCTGTTCATCTTGTTCTGCTTTCATGTTTACTGTGAGATTTTGGGAGTAACGTAACGTTAAGATCTAAACAAGAAAGTGCTGGGAGTATCGTAATGTGTAAGTAATCTAGAAATTGAATGTTGAAGAGCTTGAATGCCTGGTGACAGCCGTATATTTTGCAACCCATATTTTGGGAGACGTGGTGGAATATAGAGGGAGAGTGGCAAATGCTAATCTCCCACACATGCTAGTATATATCTCATAGAAAGTCCAACTCAATTTATTTTTGTTTTCCCTAATATCATTGCATGCCACTGGTGAATGAACTAACTTGACTGTTTTGAGTCACAGAATTGCTATCATTACTTGTACAATATATTACGTGGTTTCCTCTCTGGTTACTTTTAAGAATGCTAAATCTTCGTATGTCTTTAGTCAAGCATTTCTCTTTCTATTGACCTGCCCTAGCTTCTCATTGTGAAAATATTAGGCTTCTTTGACCCCTAGTTTGTACTAAGAAAAAGTCTCTCTGACAGTGACGGTGCTGCTGCATTGGTTTTGGTGAGTGGAGAGAAGGCACTAAAGCTTGGCCTTCAGGTTATTGCAAAAATAACTGGATATGCTGATGCTGCTCAGGTACCAATAAAAAAATATTTTAACTACGAACTAGAACTTTTGGACATGGAAGGATTAGAATTAGAAAGAGAAATATTTTATTATTCGCATTCTTTTCCATGGTTGGTGCAGTAGCTCCACTTACTGCTAACGAGATTGACATGTACAGGCACCAGAGTTCTTTACAACAGCTCCAGCTCTTGCCATTCCTAAAGCTATTTCCAATGCTGGGTTGGAGGCCTCCCAAATTGATTTTTATGAAATTAATGAAGCCTTCTCGGTAGGAATCATGTGAATATTTTAGTTGAAGTAGTTTCTTAAATTCACTTATTCTGTCGGTTTTAATAGTTAACATTACCAATTGTAGGTTGTGGCAATTGCAAATCAGAAACTTCTTGGGCTTAACGGGGTGAGTCTTTTGTCGTTAGGCAAAACTTGTAAGCATATTCATTTCTGTGCATTTCTCTATTTTGAGGAACTTCAAGGCAGTGCATTGTCTTTATTGGGCATCTACAAAGAGCTCTCTCGACTATAGCAATGAATTCTTTTATGTGCTCACCCGTATATTTCTCTGGTTTCGACATAGTCATTACTAGCTCTGAATTGTCATCTTATGCATTTTACTGATGTAATCATTTTAATTTTCAGGAAAAAGTAAATGTGCATGGCGGAGCTGTGTCTCTGGGTCATCCTCTTGGCTGTAGCGGTGCTCGTATTCTGGTGACTCTTTTGGGGGTATGTTTTAGTTGATCACTATAAATATCTTGCGACAGATGATTTTCTTAATCCAGTTTCACCTAGTTCAATTATCACTATAATGCAGGTACTGAGGCAGAAAAATGGCAAATATGGCGTTGCTGGTGTTTGCAATGGAGGTGGTGGGGCATCTGCCCTTGTTGTGGAACTCCTGTAAGCCTTTTCCAAGTTTGGTGTTTGTCTTGCATTTTATATAACTGCCTCTTAAAGCAGCGCAATTTCAACTAGCTTTTCCTGCTTATGGTAAGTTTGGGGTTTCAGAATTTGATCACAAGGAAGAAGATATATTTGGTAGATTTATCCCCTTGGTAATGTATGGTGGAATCTTGTTAACTTGCTATTAGCACCAATAGTGGAAGGGGAGGTTAGATTTGGTGTTACATCTTGTGAAAGTTTGATTTCTATTAGGATCAATATAGTATTTCTGTTTTATCTGCAATATGTTGTCTTCAATAAGTCAGTGGCGTGTCAAGCCTTAGGATTTACTTCTCTCTCAGGCTTCATGCCTGCATTGCAAGAATTAATTTGCTACATGGAGGGGTTTTAGAGCTACAAAGTTTGACTCTTGTGTCATTCTAATTTTTAGAAATATGTTTCAGCAGAATGTCGTGAATGTGCTGTATTTATTCAGTCAACAAGACACCCACAGAGAGAGTAAAGATTATTGTACTTTCCAAGCCTTTTTTTTTTTGGACTGAGTACTTTTCAAGCTTTAATAGCAAAATCGGGACATAAAACATAATAAAATAATTTCATGAACTTTAAGCTGAGATGAAAATGTTGAAACTAGATCTACACCTGTATGTCTGCTAATATGATTAAACGCCAGATGACTCGTGAACTCTTGCTATTCAAATTATACGTTAATTACACTTTTTAATCATGGTTATCTTTTTTAACTGCCTTTTTTCGTGTAAGTCACGTTCTTTTAACCTTGTTATCTATCTCTCGATTGTACGGAAAAATCTCAGGTAAAATTGGTTATAATACATTTTAAACCATGTTTTCACACTAAACACAATTTTTTTCCCGGTTATGTTGCATCAAATCTAAGGTGTGACTGTATTTAATACTTTTCTGTTTTTAAATATGAAACTTATTTTATGATATAATTTATATTATATTTAGGGTCATAGGAGTAAATTTTTTCTTGGGTAATGGGGGCAGGAAGCCCAATAAAATAAACTGTCCGTTTGGTTCATCGAATTAGAGGGGATACAATGTAATGTAATAATAGGGAATGGAATGTAATGTAATAAGAATTACATGAGTTTATTTGGTTTGATATTAAAATTAAAAATGATGATAATAAATTGAACTTTTATTTATTTAATTTAATAATAATATAGGTCAAAAGACTAAAATAGCCCATTCCCATTCTCTTCACCTTTACCTTCTCTCCTGCCGTCACTTGCTTTCCTTCATCTTCAGTTGTTATCGTCATCTCTCAACACCAGAAACATCAATATCCTACCTATAAATCTGTATTCTATGAATGGTTTTGATGAAGAGTGAGCTGTGAAGAGCCAGAGAGAAGGAGACATTCATGACTTGGTGGAGGAGGGGCCTAGAGTTAATGACGCCATCAATGACGGTGGGATAAGTGATGTCGACAACGGTGGAGGAGATAGATAGAGGTGGTAGAAGAAAGTTCGAATGAGGAAACGAAGATTCTTTGCTTCTCATCCATCCCCCCTCATCGCAGATCTGGTTGAGCTTATAGCTAAAAAATGGCGATACAAATCTGGGATACTCTTGATGGTGGAGAGGTGAAGAAGGTCGTTAGATCTATTTCATTGGAGATGAAAATAGTGAGGAGTTTGGCAAAAGTCGATGAGAGTGAATGTATGGGAAGCAAGATGCATGAAAGAAGTTCAAGGGTGAATAAAATCAATTTCAAAATTATAAAGGTAACATCGTCTTTTTAATTCAATTATAACAGGTCTGCATCCTCATTCATGAGTTCTCCCTAAGTAATCCTGATGCACTCAGTTAATGTAATCAGCATTACAAAATGTAATCTTGTTTACATTACATAAACTCAACCAAACATTTGAACAAGCTCTTTACATTATAATTACATGTAATCCAACCAAACAAGCTATAAAGCATGAGGGGTTCAAATCCCGAACAACAATTTTGGCACAGATTCCACGTGTGAGAAGGAGCAGCATCAAGCCGTGAATTTTGAATACTAATTTATGTTGGGTTAATTGTAACAAATAACTTACTTTGGGAGATTAAGGGTTTGTTTGGTTGGAGGGGAGGACAGGGAAAATGAGCCCCTCCCCTCATTTGGTTAAAAATTTTGGAGGGTTTTTAAAGGGGAGCCAAATTTTTGGACCATTATATCCTTATAGATTTTTTAATATTTCATTTTTATCCATAAAATATATTATTATAATATTTATTTCAAATAAAAATATATTATCCTAAGTAAAAAAATAAAAAAATACATTATTATAATTAAAAATTTATTATAAAAATTTATTCAAAAATAAAAAATTATAATATTATAAAATTAATTTTTTTTATAAATATATTATTTATTAAATATATTTTAAAGCTGGAAAAAAAGATAGCCTAAAGAGAATAAAATTTCATTTTTCTTAGAGCATATAAACTTAATTTGATTATTTTAAATATATTATTATATTAATTAGAATAAAAAATTACTGTACCAATTTTTTAATACACATATTAACATGATAAGATTGAATTTTTATTAAATTATATAATTTAAATTAAGATGTAAATTAATTTATATAATATATCAATAAAAAACATAAACTAATATGTAAGGGTAAAATGGTAAATTGATTATTACTATCCCTCCCATCCCCTCCTTGAACCAAACAAGAGATCATTAAATATCCTCCCCTTCCTTCCATTTTAATCAAACCAAACAAGGTGAGGATAAAACCTCCCCTCCTTCTCCTACCCTCCCCTCAAACCAAGCAGGCCCTAAGGAAATTAGCTAAATTGGTTATTTATAATAATCTTTACAATCAATAGAAATATTTTAGAAAAAGTATTATAAATTTTAGAGACAAGTTAAATTAAGATTTCATATGTGTGTGTATATATATGATAAAATTAAATTTTTAATTAGTTTTTATATTAATGATTGGTACTACATAACAGTCATAACTTTGGCAAATTTTGATTAATTGGGCCCCATATATTAAGACCAAATGCCCAAACATGTAACGTAGCTGGCTTGGCCTAATAATGATGGATATCAATTGTCCAATGGTAAGCCCAATTTAGGCCTTATTTCCCGCCTTATCTCATTGTCAGTTTTAAAGCTCACATCTTCATTGGTCTTATGATAGAAGGGGTTAGTCCTACCTATATTTAGTAATCGATATTGTCTCAAATAAAATTATCTTTAATAAAAAACTTATACTTTAGCAAAAAAAAGTTTGGATCTAATGCTTGCAATTTTTAGTAGGAGGGATATTCAATTTAGTGCCAAACAGTGTCCTTGAGCTCACATCAAGCCAATCTGATTCTGCACTAACACGTGGGACCCGTCGTCCCTGGTCCCCATGGTATATTCTGCAAAAATACACTAGTTTAACCCGCTTCTTCTCGTGATACCTGCCACGTTGTTTTCAATATATTTTCTACTCATTTTTCTTTCTTGGAACACTAATTATGTTGTTCTGGATCCATTTTTTTACTTCTATTTTCTTCTCGTAAATAGCCATGCAATTTTAAATTGATTTTCTAGTCACCGAACCTTCTGGTATCGTAACACTTGCCATGTTCTAAATTGTATCATAATTTCAATTATTTTATTTTACATATTTCAAAGTAAAGATTCCACAATACTCTTTGCGCTTCTATTTATAAATCATCTCTAGTAATTCACATAACCAAAGTACTCAAAATTAGTTTACGGCTTTATACTTCTAAAATTTATCAATCTTTTAAAAGAAATCCTAAGTGTATAGGCTAAATAAATAATTTTATTATTTATAAAAAGGATTAAAGTATTTTGTCTTAGAAGTTCTCACTCAAAAGCGTTGGGTATCCGTAATTTTTTTGGGAGGAAATTTGTTTTATAAATTTAAAATCATAACAATATTACCCTCATCGTTAAAATCATTAACAGTCAACATTATTGTTTTAATGGTCAACTTTAGTGTTTTGACAGTACAGGACAATATTGTTACAATTTTAACTTTTCGGTACAAATTTGTTCTCCAAAAAACTTTTGGATACTCATAGCTCTTGAGTGATTCAAAACAAATTTTTACCTTAACCCTTATACAAAATACTACTTCCGATTATAATTATAAGAGCCAGTTAACTAATTTGAGGAAATTAAGAAAATAAGTTAAGTTAGTTATTTGTAATAAATATGTGTTGTCTTTTCTAAAATATCCTTACTAATCAAGTATTTGGTTAAAACTATAATTATTAGAAGTACTATCATAAAAAAAATTAAGTAAATATAAGAGATAAAATGGATTAAGATCTTATATTTAGAACCAACATAAAAATTAAACGGGGTCTTATATTAAGGACTAGAGGTAATATATTATTTTTTTTAAAATACCCCTTGCTAAAAACTATTATATTTTTTAATAACAAGGCAATTTTATTTTTTAAACAACTATCATATTGATTGCATATATTAGTGTGTGCAATCACAATAATAACAGTATGAGAAGAAATAAAAAATGATCAAGGCAATACATTTAAGGTCACAGCAAACTCTTTAACTAGCTTCTATATTTAAAATCAAGGAGGATAATTGCATTATAAATTTTTACAAAATGACTTATCAATAAAATAATAATGAGAATAAAAATTACGAATCAAGTAAATAAAAAGACAGGCAACATGAAGATTTATGCTAACAAATTTTAGGAGAAATGCTAATATTTTGAGCTATAGTAAAGATGATGATGATAATATGGTCATGTTGATTAGTTGAAGGTCTCAATCAAAAGGGTTCATGAGCGTTGTTGCTTTCTTTCCATGTCAGATTACCAGCCACGTCTGATCGTATTATTAGTATCAATATTATCATAAACTGATCATTTAACATTGGGAAATGTGGCGATCCAAATCCATCCAATGAATACAGCAGAGAGGTTATAATTAATTACCATTTAACTATTCATGTTTGTCAGCCTCTATTTAATGGGTTAATACAAATTTTGATCCCTCAAATTTGAATCCAATTTGGTATTGGTTCTTGAAATTTAAAATGTGTGGTATTGGTCCATCAAATTATGTTCGTTTCAGACCGTTAGTCCCTGGCATCTTGGCACCGTTAAATTTTACCGACATGCCGTTAACACCGTTAACCGATGAGTTGGACATATAGGTGGCATATAACCTGGACATGAACCGATGAGTTGGCATGTAGGTGGCATATGACTTGGACATGGACCCAAAAAAAGGGTTAATATAAATTTTGGTCCCTCAAATTTGGGGCCATTTTGGTATTGGTCCCTAAAATTTAAAACCGATAGTACTGGTCCCTCAAATTATATCTTTTTCTGACTGTTGGTCCCTGTTAGCTTTAGGCCCTCCTCTTGTTATCTGTTCCTGTA